CCCCCATGCGCGGGAGAGAGAGAGAGAGAGAGAGAGAGAGAGAGAGAGAGAGAGAGAGGGAGAGAGAGAGAGAGAGAGAGGGGGGCACACAGTTCCTTGAACGAGCTGCATGTCTAGGAGGTCCGCAGTGAATGAGCTTCATGTCGTGTGTCAAGTGTCATGTGGCATGTGCGTTTGCAGTGTGCAGTATTGAATGTTTCGGCCAGGGCGTCACAGTGCAGTCTCACACATGTTTCTGCAAAGCATGCAGGAGCGACAGTGCAATGTGTTATAGGGGGGACAGTGTGTTGCAATGTGTGGTAGGGGGGAAGTGTGCGTTTCCGAGCAGTCGCCAAGCCGTTGAGCAGTAATNNACTGCGAGACGGAAAACAGAGCATGCGGCAGCCTTAGCAAGAAGAGGCCGGGGGTTCAATAGACAATAGGGGGGGTCCAGAGTTTACAACCCACGGCCTCAACTCGTAGAGTTAGTGCAAACAGACCAAGAGACCCAGTGCGCGTGCGCGCGCGGGGAGGGCAGGGACCTGCCTTCCTTTGGCTGTGCAGAAGAAGAATATCTTTTTGCGAGAGAGCAGCTGTTGTTGCCCCCTAAAGCCTCTGAACAGGGGCGCGCCTCTCGGCGCGGGGGGTCTAACTCGGGTTCTGGACCCCGCAGTGAAGTGAAGTGAAGCGAGAGAAAGAGAGTGAGAGAGACGTGTGACGGGCCGCTGAGCCTCCCAGACACTTCTGCAACATACCTCATGAACTTGTGTGCCATTTCGTGCAATGGATTTTTGTCAACTAGTAGAAGGCCCCCTTCGCTTTGCAACTCAAGTTGAGCAGGATGTTCCTCCTTTTGATGACCTACTGCGCTCGCAAAGTTCTCTGGCACCCGCACCAGTCGGCGGCGCTAACGCGCGCGGTGTAGGGGGAAACCCCTGCACCACAGCCCGGGCGAAGGAAAGAGAGAGAGAGAGAGTGGGTGTGTGAAGTTTTGGCCTTGCTATGTTTTCGTGTTATGCTCTGTTGCCATGTTGACAGCTCAGCTGAAAGAGACGGGATGGCATGCCCTCCCGGTGCCTGAACCATGCCAACGAAGTGCAATCGCGGCGCATTGTGAACTTATCTTACTGCTTTTCTCGTCTGACTGCGCATCTTTCTTTGGCAAGCCGCTTTTGCCTTTATAGCGCATGCGGATCTCACAACTCGCTCCCCACATGTCGGGGGCGCTAACGCGCGCGGGCGAGGGGGGCTTGCCCCTCTTGTCCCTAGCCCTGGCGAAAGAAAGAAAGAGTGGGTGTGTGTGTTGTGCCAATGCTGCGGTAAAAGAAAGCCGCGAGAAATGAATGAGTGGCAGGATGTTTCCCTTGACTGAGGCATCCCGACTGGGCCCCGACAGGGGGGGCAGGAGGTAACCCAGCTTCTTAAGACTTCCGAAAGAAGAGAAAATTGCCCTTGTCACTCTGCCTTCGAGGCGAGTTCCTGGCGACAGGAAGTGATTACTTGCAGCCAGGAGGAAGCAAGGAAGCAGTTGCAGAGCCTTCGGCAGATGCTTTCTCCGGCATCGGGTTCTGACCTTGTCAACAAGTTCGAGGACAAGCGCACGGGTTTGTGATTGCCCCACGCAGGTCGCTTCGATTTCATGACGATTCCGTCCAGGAGCTGGCAGGTGAGCATTCCGACTGCAAATCTGCCAAGAGAGGCGGGCGCCTCGATCCTTTCGAGAAAGGCATGATGAGCAAAGCCTTCGAAGAGGCGGCTTTTGCTCTTCCAGTTGGCGGAGTATCCGAAGTTTTCTCTACCAAGCAAGGGGAGCACTTGCTATTGCGACTATCTTGAAGTCTGCCGGCAACAGGTGGGTTTATCCAGGGTTTTGGCCACTACATCCAGCTCAAAGAGGTGTCGAGCATGCCGGCTGATGATCCGCTCCACCCTCCCCGAGATTGCGGAAGACTGTTTGAAGCTGACGACGGGACATCTTGTACAAGAAGCGGGCTGCGTGAACATCTTTCAGCACGTAATTACACAGAAAGCAGGGATAGGCAGAGGCAAAATGGCACGACCCATCCAACTGAGCAGCTTGCAAACAGCTTCGTTCGGCTGTGCTCGCGGCAGCCTGGGCAAAAAAGGGCTTTAGCGGAGTGCTTCTCCAGAAGCTTCTTCTTGCGATCTTCGACAAAACAAACCATAGCTGAAACCGACGTACGTCAGATGCTGGCACACAAGCTCACATGCAGAAGGAAGCTTTTCCGAAACTCGCAAAAGACCATGTGCTACAGGCGACGATGACTCTCCAAGCTGCCAAGGATTCTGCACGAGAATGGTTCGCCCGAGGTCTGACACTTCTCGGTACTTTTAAATTGTCTGCCCTGCACCAAGTGCCTAGTGCATGCGGGCAGCAACAAGAGTGGCGAGAGAACCAAGGAGAGGTGGCAACCAGCATGGGCCTGCTGCGAGAGCCAAGCTTTGCAAGCAGCTGGCAGGGATCCAAGAGCACATTTATCTCTAGCAAGGCGGTGTCCAGGTGGTGAAGGGTCGTGAAACAGGAAATGCTTCTCGATTGAGGCAGGGCAGCTCCAGGAGCACGCAGCGTCAGTGTGTGGCAGCGCCACCGCTGCGCACATAGCCAGTGTGCTGGAACGCGGGCGGCCGGAAGAAGAAGGTTCGCGCGATTCTTGACAAGCCCGAGTTGCTGAGTTGATCTTCTTGATTTCTTGAGGTCCAGAAGGCCACTGCTTGCAGACATGCCAGAAAACAGTGGTGAAGCCGGTTCAGGTCCGCTTATTTGCGCGACAATGGCCCGGGAGTTGCGGGGAAGCCGCTATGAAGGGCTGTGTGTTGACTGCAACGGTCGTCGCATTGCACGGTGAAGTTGGCTGCTGGCCGTAGGCAGTCTTTTCCAGGATAACAAGGTACTCCTAGCTAGCAGTTTTCTGTTTTCTTCGAGGTGGATTTCCCGCAAGGGTCCTGCAGGGCACTACTACCTGGGAGATGAGCACGAAGGTGCAAACCTTCCTTCAACAGACAAGGTGCGGAGAGACCCCGTGCGCTGCAGAGAGAGTCAGAGGAAACTTGTAACAGAGAGAGAGAGAGAGAGAGAGAGAGAGAGAGCGAGAGAGCGAGAGAGAGAGAGAGAGAAAGAGAGAGCGCGAGCAAACGGCTTGGGATTAGAGAGCAAACGCAGAACGCTGGCCAGTAAGAAGAACCGTTGTGAGGATGGAGATCCTATCCATCCGCGTGTACATGCAGTCGTGAAAGTTGTGAACGAGCAGTTGGCAGCTTGGATGAAGACTTGGAAGACCTACTGACCTACTGTCGATGATGCGACTTCCAGTCGAGATGGCTGCTTGTTGGCTCGGCAACGCCGATGATTCCTGTTGCTTGAGTGCGACAGCTGGAACTACCAAGGTGATAAGTGGATTCTTCCTCGACCCGGAAGATGACACGATGAGTCCTGCCAAGGCAGGGTCTCTGCAGACTCCGCTTGAAGCCGAAAGACACGGCGAGGGATTGCAGGGGGCTGAAGTGCGGCTCGTACAGGTGCCGATCGGGCCCTTCCTGAGCGTTTACTTCGAAGGCATGTCGGTCCGCGAGGTGCATATTGCATTAGGCAATAATTCCGAGAGATGGTATGATTCGGTATGATTGCATCTGACGGCAGGCTTCAGCTGCCTGGAAAGGGGGGCCACCTGCAAGACCGAGACCTGCACCCAAAGCGAAGCAAGGCCAGTGTTCAGAACCTCCGCATCGATTGAAGACCTGCAGCTGCAGGCCCTGCAATAACAGATCCGAAGTTAAAGGAGCTGCAGGCAGGCTTGCCGCCTGGATGGGAAGCTCCCCGGCTAGCAGCTGGCGTCCGACGGTCAGCCTGCTTTAAGCATCTGTAGGTCCAGAAGACGACGAAGCCTTGCCCAGCACTCCACTGCAGAAGTCCATTGCTGTTTCCGTTGAACTTGATCCCGCTTGTTTGCCGATTAAGTTTGGGTACCCCGCTTCAGTCCGCAGCAGAATTAAGATCACTTCGTGATGTGCAGAGAATACCTTGCAAGTTTCCATCCCAGGTACGAGAATCTCGATCGAAAAAGGGCATCTACTTCTTTGCCCATCCCTCGTCTGGCCGCTCTCAGATGGAACGGCCTAGAGCGTGACTGGCTGATGGGCGTCACGGCTGGTTTCCTTCCAGCGGAGATCTAGAAAGTCTCAGTTTGAAAGGTCTTGATCTCAACCAACTTCAAGGTCTCCCCTGTCAGAAAGGAATAACCTCGCACAATGGATGGTTGGCGTAAAGGCGCAGGTTCATTGGATGCACTAGACAGAACTGCCAAATGCCACCCATCTCTGTGTGCAGCTTTGAAGCATGTATATAGCCATACAGTAAGCCGGAACGGGCTTCGAGAAGCTTGCAGATTATCGCTCATATCTTGTGAGAGGCTTGGGAGCGGGGCATCGTGGGACGAAGGCAAGCCATCAAATGGGCATGGATGCCCGGGTTGGCGCCGATACTGTCCACTCTGCTCGTGGCCGTAGTTGGATGTCGATAATGTGATATGATTTGCAAGGCCGTGACAAGGGCCAAGCATGCTGACGCTGTACAGCTCCTCCGATTGCCAGCAGAGAACTGCTTCGGACGGGGTGTTACTGATGCGAGCAATATACCTGCACAACCAGACAGGCGAGAAAAAAATGTGGCGAGCCGCGGACCGGCATGCTGTTGTGAGTGTGCGCCTGACATGAAGTATTCGGCAATCGCAAGTTTGCACCAAGATCACCGCATTCGACAAGAGCTACACCCAGTTTGAGCGACTTTACATGACCATCGTTGAGCAGCTCATGGAGGCAAGTGCGGTGCTCGATTCTTGCTGGCGTCCTCGCTGCTGAAATGTTTTCGAATTCGTGGGCTCAGCCGTTGTGCGACCTGGCAGACGACGCTGGAGCCCCTGCGCAGTATGGCCAAAACGTGTGCACCACAGCTGAATGTGCACACAGTCATCAAGAAGCCAAGTTCCCAGAGGTCGGCAGCCGCAGCAATCAAGAACATGTGCAACCTAGACGAAAGGTGACAGTTGTCAATCACCAGCTTCCGCAAGTGCAGAACGTAAGGGGCTTTTTCGGGAATGCACGAGCCAGAACTGCTAGCAGTTTGTATCAAACCCAGCTGGTATGCAGCGCAGTGCCATGACCGCCGCGCAGCATGGCTTCTCGCGGGTATCGTGGCTTCGTCAAGAAGAGCCTATGCTTTCTATCTGTACGCGGCTTAGCCAAGCCGCGTTACATGTTATGAGTTCGCCGGCGGACTTGGTAATCTAATGCCGTCAAGGTGCTCAGCCTGTTTGCCGGTGCGCTGTTTTGGTCGTCATTCCTTGAGCCCCGCCCTTACCTGCAAATCGACGGGCCACAAGGAATCACAAGGAACATCGCTCAGAAGCAAGATGGCAAAGAACAATTTTGTGATGGAGCATGGATTGCTGAATCTTTCCAGCACTCCATACAGCACGTGCAGTCTCTTGGCCGGCGTCGGTCTGTCAACATTTGCCAGCATCTAAACACGACAAGCAATGCGATCATGCCACGCATGCAATTGCGCATTTTTGGGACACATCGTTTATTGGCTCAGCTGCAACAGAGGAGCGGCTTCCACTCAAAAGCCAACGAAAGGTACAGAAGCCGCATTCGGCGCCAACATGATTTTTGAAGCTTGTGCGAGACCTTGCCCGCTTGAATGTGCACGTGTAAGATATGGAGTTTTGAACGTGTTGAACTTGACGGTGCCAGCTTTGCATGGGCAGCTTGCCAGTGGTGTGGTTTGTGCAACAAGGCAGGACCGGAGAGACTCTGAACTGAATGCAGTACGACACCTGCAGAAGCAACTCGCGCTTGCAGCTCAGTGCCACCGAAACTCCTTGACAGTGACCGGTGATGGTGCGGGAGTCTGCAGTTCATGCTGGAGGCAAGAGAAGGGTCTGGTGGCCTCCTTTAGTGCGGCGGCGGCAGCAGCTGAAAGAAAGGCCGAGGCTGCCGCAGTCAAGCTCAAGGAAGCAGAGGCGAGAAAGCAACGTACAGCGCGACTCGACTTCCGCTTCCCGACAGCCAGGCACAACTGGCCGCCAAGGCTGTCAAGGCAGCGCCTGGGGTCTCCGTAGGTTTGGCTAGGTTTGGAGGGTTGGCATGGGCTAGTGCTGAGAATCATGCACAGTTTCGACTGCTCTTGTGGTGCATTGGCTGGCTCCAGCTCTTCAGTACGTTCGGATCGCTGCTACTTGTGCCCACCTTCAATCTTCAGTCAAAGCCAGAAGCATGCAACGACAGATTGGTGCTTGTCTGGCTCATGTCGTGTTTCACCAGGTGCCGAAATCGCATCACAAGTTGTGCGAATAGCTGTTGAATGATTCGTGTGTCGTCCATCGATGGCACGACTGTGGCCTCTGTCACACGGTCGCCAGATTTGAAGATTGCTGAGATTCGAGACGCAGTTCTTGCCTCGCTGAATGCCACCCCCAGACCTGCTCGGCAATTCGACTTAGCCTCTTGGCCACACGTAGATGTCCAGGCTATTCATCGCCGTGAGGCAGACTGTGGGCACCCGAGGTCTTGGACAAGCAGATTCTACACGATTGTGACAACCTATCGGCAGTAGCAGACTTCGACTTCGCTCAATGCGGAGAAATTCTAATAAACGTGGTTTGGAAGGCAGACCCGCACGTGCTAGCAGCCTCGTCTGATGGCACCCTTACAGTGTTTGATGCGGGCGGACGCAGATGTTTCACAAAAGGACCTTTCCAAGATCTTGTGGGCTTCGCATCCGCACGAACTTACTACCTGTGGTTGGCAAGTTGCCAGGATGGTCTTGTCCACGTTTTTGATGGTGACGAACATCTTTGCAGCTTTACTGGAACTCCTCGTCGAGCTCAGAACGTGGTGTTCTCACCGGATGGTACCAGGGTTCTCACCCCGGCAGGTAGCTGCACTGTGAAATCATTTGATGTACGGTCCGGGCAGTGTTTGGCGACCTACGGCAGTTTCGAGTCACAGGTTTCCTCTGCGACATTTTCGCCAGATGGATCGGGCATTTTATGTACCACTGTGCGAGGTTTCGCGGCAGTCTGTGCGGCTGCATCAGATAAGCGAGTTCACATGTCCCATGCCGGCAAGTGGAGCCGCCGTGCTCATTTCATCTCAGAAGGCAGCGCAATTCTGGCCGTGCTGCGAGATGGTACTGCCCGAATATTTGACGCAGGTTCTGGGTGTGTGACGCTGCACTTGCGAGAGAACGGGGTGGTGTGCGATGCCGCAGTCTCGCCGGACATGTCAAAGGTGACTCTGGTATCGAGCGATTGTACGGCAAGGATATACTCCCTGACAGAACCACACATCGCCTGTTCCGTGCTGGTTCGGCAACTTGGGGATTACATCCCTCCGCAGCCTGTCAGCTTCTCTGCTGATGGTACACGCATATTGTTTGCACTGGACTGTTGCCATGTCAGAGTGTTCGATGCAAGCACCGGCGAGTTCCTCAGCTTGTGCGAAGGCGGAATGCAGCATATCACCGCCGCCTGCTTTTCAGGGGATGGGCAGTTCGTGCTGGTCTCGTACTATCGTTCCACGGTAAAAGTCTTTGATACAACAACTGGTAGCTGTGTGAGGCAATTGGATGGTTCTCCGCACGCTTTTCTACTTGCTGACTTTGCATGGGCCTTGCCCGTGCATCTTTCCTCCAGCGGAAAATTGCGCATTTCTTTCGCTTCTACGTTCTACAGATTGCCTCAATTGTTGTAAACTGCTTCCTTGACGGCCAGGTGCGTGACAGCCCGCCGTCGCCGTCGCTGAGTTCAGCGAGACAGGAGGAGTCTCCGCAGTCTGCAGATCTCCTCACCATCGAGGTCTTGTCGGTCTTGGATTGTGATCAGGAGCCAGCTCCGCTCAGTGACTCAGCGCCTCCGCCAGGTCACTACACATCGATAGGCTTCGGCATTCAATGGCATCCGATGGCATCCTGCATCTCACGCCTTTGCCTCTTGGGAAGGCTTGGCCGCCGTGGCAGTGCGGCCCCGAGACTCTGCGCATGGCGTAGTCTTTGGCGGCATTTGCAACCCTCGCTGCATAAGGACAAGAAATACCAGAAACGATTCGCGATTTCAATTGCTAGCCAAAGATGCTACGCAAAGAAGCACGGTTCGAAACTCAGTTGACTGTGCACGCGGAAGACCGCAGCCTCTCTGTTCCAGATGGCATGTTGGGACGACACGACGCAGTGACGCACATGACCGAGACTTGCAGATGCGTGGCTCAGCTCTGATAGAACACCCGGTCAAAGGGACCGCTGTCTAGACGGAATGGCAATAATACGTGCCGCCGGGGACTGGGACTCTGGCGAAGTCGTTGCTGTCAGAATGGTGAGCGGCAGGAAGCAAATTGAAGACATCAAGCGCGTTGCTGGCTTGCAAGAGGCCACTCTGTCCTTTGAAGAGAAGCAGCAGATCGAGCAAAGACGGGCACAAGCAGCCGAACGAAAGGACCTCTTGCGAGCACAGGCGGAGCGCAAGCGACATGAGGTCAGTGAACTTCAGTCGAAGCTCGCAAGGCGAAGAGCCCGAGAGCAGATGCAGGATGACTGCATGGAGACTGAGGACATCTCCCAGAGGGTTGTCACAAACGAGCCGGTGGCATTGGTCGAATCGCTTGAGCAGCCTGGGAACTCGTTTTCCAAAGCTCCAACTCAGAACATCCAAGCCGCCGTTGTTGTCCCGCCTACACAAGACCCGCGCAGCACAAAGCGGACACAGGAGCCCGTCAGCGTCAAAGAGCGCGAAGTTGCTGCCGATGGTGTGAGCTTAGTCGAGGGTGCATTTGCTCAGTCTGTCACTGTGCATGAGTCATCAAGACAAGTCCAGCCAGAGAACCCATGCTGCAACCTGCAGTGAGACTCTGAGACGACTTCATGGTTGCAAGATGTTGCAAGTAAGAGGGGTTGTTCACTTATGTGAGCCCTCGGATTTATTGTTCTTCACCCGGTCTGAGAGACAAGGGCATTTCATGCCATCCGCTCAGACCATAGGCTTGACATCCGAACCAGACTCTGCTGGTCAAGAGCCCCAAAGCAGGGCAGAAGGCTGGAAGGCAAGAGGCAAAAGCTCTGCATCAGCCGCAAGACGAGAAGTGGTACTTTCTTCTGGAGTTGATACCTCTGCAGGCTATGAGTATGCGGTCATCGACCCTTCAGTTGCCTGGCTTGAAGGGAGGTTTTCGTATCCAGAGTGAGAGCTTCAAAGCGAGCGTCTGCCGCTGCTTGCGAGGAGTATCCGGGCTGTGACAAATTTCGTGATTTCTTTTTCCGAAAGCATTGCTCCGTGGCACGTTTTCTCGAGACGACGTCGGGCGATCACATTCTGCGCCTTGACCGCTTTCGGAGTCGCCACAGTCATCGTCACAAGGCATTCCCCCCCACGCTTCCAGGTTTGTTTTCGACGGTGACAACCCCGTGGTTTGGCTCGACAGAGGCCAGGGCCTCGGGCCTGGAAAGGGCGGCATTGCGAATGGACGAAACGCAAGCATGCGCAAGCGACCTGGCAGGCTTGGACCATTGGTTGAAGGAAGTTGCCGCAACGGATGTTGTCCTGTACGAGCGCTGGATGAATAACGAGATCATGGTCCGCAGCTCAGGGCCTTAGGGCTTAAAGACAGGGGCAGGCCTATGGTTTGGGGGGGGCAGCACTGTGTGAGGCAGGAAACTATGCGGTGAGGAACTCGGACTTTGGCATCCGCTTTCTTGACGATTGGGCCAGCTTTGAAGAGGAGCTTCCAAGAAGTGGCGCCTTGGCCGCAGTTGCAGAGGCACAGCAGCAGAAAGTCTCCTTGCACCAAAGGCTACCACTCTTCCGACAACGGTGCCATTCACCTACACTTGCTTCGGGTACTGGGCTTGAAGAATGAGAAGCCCTGCAAGTACCAGTGGGATCATCTTGGAAGCGATCGTGATCATATGGACGAATACTATGGCTTCGTTACTTGCACAAGGCCATCACGACAGGCAGCTCGTTGCATTCCTGGCTTCGCGAAGTGTTCGTTGCACAGGCTGGTGATGGGTGCCCCAAGACGGTGGAAGATTGCTGGCACGCCGCGTAACACCACAGCACATAGCTCCAGCTGGGGACATGCTGTAGTCTTAGTGCGTCTCAGTTCTCCGCACATGTGTGTGTGTGTGTGTGTGTGTGGCTTGTCTAAGGAGTCACGATCCTACCTCGAGGCCATGCCTGGGCAATCGATGGTGGCGATGCTGACAGCCACGTGTCATCAGTTGGTGCAATTTCACATCATGGACAGAAGACGGAAGCAAACTATCGACAGATCCTTGGCCGAAGTCACCGCGGGCTTGTTTGGCACATGGAGGCTATGCAATGAAGCACCTGCCTTGCTCGAGCAAGGTATTTTCAAGACAGCTTTGTTGACAACGGCGGCTCCGACTGCGATGCGATGGTCAGGAAAGGCTTCTACGTCGACCCGCGGCAGTATGGCGAGTCGCTGAAGCTTGTCTGAACGAGCTATAGTTCACGCTTGTTAGACTTTTTGAACGGTTGTAGCACAGGGGTCGCAAAAGATAAACAGTTCCGTTGAGCAATACAGAACAACCAAAAAAGGCATACACCCTGGCTTGCTTTTTGGCTTCTGCGGCTTCCCGGCTTCTCGGCCGGCGGTTTTTGGCCTGTATGGCTTCTTGACTTGCTTCTTGATGTCTTGGCATCTTGGCTTCTGCTCTGTGTTTCTGCTTCTCGGCTCCTTGGCTCTGTTGGCTTTTGGCTTCGTAGCTTGTCGGCGCCGGCTTTTTTTTGGCTTGTCTGGCTTCCTGGCTTCTGGGCATTTGCGCGTTGCGTTTCTGTTGCTTGTGGGATGGCTCTGCCGCGCCCTGTGCTGTTGCATTCAATTTGGTTCATGCTGTTCCAGCCTGTTTGTAGGCTTTAGCCACTTTAGCCCTCTTGGCTTGCTTTTTTAATATGCTGCTTTGTTGTCTTATCGGCTCTTGCTTTGCACGTTTTTCTTTCCCGTTGTTTATTGCAGTCTGCGTCCTGCTTCTTGATTGGCGTTTATTTAGCCTTGCCGTTTCTTTTAACATTGACTAGCAGCGACCACCGCCACGACGGGGTCAGGGGAAAGTAAGAAACAATTAGAGACATAATCAATGAACCAATCAAAGAACCAAAGGCCAGAAATGAAGAAGCAGAAACAGCAGCAAGAGAGGACAGCAAGAACGAAAGAACACACGAACGCAAAAACGGACCGATAAGCAAAGAACGCAAGAAGGACCCGGGGAGTAGCAGCAGTAGCAAAAGTAGTGAAACGGGGCCGGTTGAAGCCCTTTGTTATCCTGCGGCACCCTTGATTCCATAGGTTGTGTCCTTGATATTTGTCTCGGGTTTCCTTGATCCTAGCTTTTTTTGAATTTTTTCATCCGACAGCTCGCAAAGGTACTGTTTGTCGTAACCCCTGCTGCGTAGGTTGAGCAAGCTGAAAGCGCGTACTGACGGCGCCATGCTAGACTGGACTCGACAGCACGTTCCACCCTGGGACTTCGCCTACTTGGGCTGCAGCTTGCTTCCAAGCAGGAGTGGGAAGTTTAGGGCTGTTGTCAGCCTGATCCGCACAAAGGCATGGCGACCTTGTCCTGTCGGCCGCTGGATGACGGTGAAGCCCTGTCGGTCAGCATACCCAGGCGCCGGCTTTGACTTCTGGCCGCAGTTACACAAGTCTGCCGTAGGCCGATGCAGTCGTCGATTCCCTTCAAGAAGGTCCCGAAAGATGCCAAATTCGAGGCTCCCACGGCTGCAAGATGTCGGCCGTTAGGTTTTGACATCGCCTCACACTGCACTGTGAGGTGTGTGCCGGAGAGTGGGAGACATCTGGTCTGCATGTGGGGCCGTCGCGCAGAGGATCCTCTGCTTCTGCCGTATGCAGCTTAGGACCTGTAAATGCGCGGGCTTCGCCACATCCTCAGTCAGCTTGGCGTGTGGGCTTGAGTTCATCTGTGGCCGCAGCTACGGACCTGAAAGATGCGACGCCACCACTTTAACCTTGTGTAGCGTCAATGAGAAACCCAAGGGAAATCATCTGCATGACACTTGCATTGCCTGTGTTCGCCTCATTCGTACTTCCCAGTTGCCAAAGCTGCACCAAGTCCGTATCACTGGAGCCTCCTGGGTGGGAAAAAATATCTGATCGTGTGCTGTGGGTTATGCCGCCCCCCTCCCCCCTCATGGGATCCCACCCCCCACCCGAGGGGAGGGAACCAACCTTCGAAGCTCAAGGCCCAAGCAGTTCCAACAGGATGGGAGGGGATAACCACGCGCAGAGCCTTTAGCAGAAGGCCTCAACCACACAGGGGTGCATCCTGCGGGGACCGGGGCGCAACCGCAGCTCAGCCACCTTCGGCACCGCAGGGTTGAAAGCTCAGAAGACCCTTCTTCCGAGGTGTATTTCGGAACGAAAACGCGCCGAAGTCCCGTCGTGGAGGCCGCAACCTGAGCATGTACTCTGTGGAGTGTTCATGGAGCAGGGTGGAGCTTAGGGTTTTTCTGAAGTGGCTCCAGGTCCAAGCTGGCGAAGGCAAGATTGACTGCCGCTCCCGTGTTGCAAAGCATCGTAAGCAGACGGCGGGGCTTTATCACATGTCTGACATCGTCTGACCCAATTTCCTTTATGCGCGAAACGCAGTTGGCCAAAACATTTTGCTCGGATGAAGCGGCCGCGGTTTTAGCAATAAACGGACGAGACTACAGTACAATGAGTCGCGACTAGGGATGGACTCAGGATCGCCCAAGGGTGGACGGTTGGGACCTATACCTAGCTATGTAACCTGTATCGAAGCCCTCTCTCTGTCGATGATCCCAGCATCTGAAACCTTACGATTGCAAGAGCGATTGTGTACTAGAACGTGCGAGTTGAGTTGACTGCAAGAACTGCAGCCAGCAGGGGCCGCAGGAACGTAGGACTGCAGGTGCTGCCGAGGAACTGCAGGCTGCAACAACCGCAGGATCAAGGACTGCAGGGTCTGCGGCCTGCCAAAGGAAGGGTTTAGAAGAAAGTACTGAGATTCAAAGCCACAGCCCCCAATACTAAACATTTAGTGTTGCCTAGAAGTTGAAAAATGATCGCAAACATGGACCCATGCCTGCTACTCGCAAGGACTTTTTCGCTGGTTTGTCACTTGTTTACCGAAGCATTCTGGGTGGCTGTCTGTTGCGTCCTCTTTTTTACGATGTCTTGACTTGTGGTCTTCGCGTAATCAGAGACGGGACAAGAGCTGGCTCCAAGCCCTACTGAACTACGGCTGATTGGGTTGGTCGTGTAGCCCACCCCAGTCGGAGCCAGATTTTGTGGACCGTGGGCGCGGCGGTGCCGTTCTGCCGGCTTGCCTTGAAACGGCATGGTCTGGCGGCAGCTTGGTTTCGTCGCTCACCCTATGGTCATGCAGACATGCTAGGACATCGCTAGGCAGTATGGGCTGAACCATCAAATTGCTCGGAGGGTATGGTGGTGCGGCGCCACTCTAGACTCCAGACTAGACCCCGCTCCAAGCTATCCGATGGTTCTGCTCAGAATGCTCGATGTCTTGCCCCGTGGGGAGGCCAAGGCCTGCAAGGTTTTGTGGGCGGCCTTTTTGTGTAGCCTGCGGGGCTTGGGTCATTCACCATGAGCTCAGAACAATCCCCAAGACACCCCGTTTACAGCGACTCACTATTGCCACTTCTGTTGCTGACAAGTTGCTTGCGTGCTGAAGCCTGGTTGCAAAATCTGCTGCGATCTAAGGTGCTGATAACTTTGACGGGGACCCAGCCATTGGCGAGATCAAGAAATGCCACTGCGCACCTGCTGCCGAAAAACGGAGCTGTGCACACTGACGAGCTGACAGCCTGCTTGCTTCCGCCAGTTGGCAGATTCCATGGAGCGGATCTGACGTGCTTTGGCCCTTGCCTTCGAGGTGCGATGCGCTCCTCAGCACATCTGGAGATCCCTTCCGGGAGGCATCCCGACAGGGTTGTTGCCGCATTCTTCGCGCAGATCGACTCGTCCTGGTCCTAGGTTCAAGCCGCTTCTCTATGTCAGCGCCTGGGCCTCCTGAAACAAGATGCCGCCTGCTCAGAAGACCCAGAAGTCTCCAGCATCCCGGCCTTGATCGGGCTGAGCGGGTGATTCTCGAAGCCGGCAGGTCGACTTTGGGGGCAGCAATCAAGTCATGCATTTTGACTCCAGCCTCCTGGAAAAGGCGCACAGAGCCCGGGACCCGACCCAACCTCTGCATTTGTTTTTTTCAGGCTTTTTCGCTACGTGTCGGCCCGACGCATGCCCAAGGTCCTCCAAATGGAAACATATGCCGAGGCTCTGTGGTTTTGAAGATCTGAAGCATCTGTCTGAGTGCCCATGACAGGTGCAAGAGATGGCGCGTGCACTAATTCAGGACTTCGAGTCTTTGTGCAAGGTGCGGCCTGTTACGATTGATATTTGAAGGAAGTGCGTCTTGAGACGTCTGAGCATTGCAGGTTGTGTTTTCGGCAGCAGGCTTGGTTGTCTATCGGAATGCAGAGAAAAGTGGCCAGGTCCTGTTGCATTTAAATGACAACCAAGCCAAGCCGGAACTCAAAGAGAATGCCGAGTGCTGAGCCAGCGGCGATGTGCAGCTGTATGGATTGCAAGTTTGGGCCTGTAACGAATTGCGAGGCAGAGCTGACGTCTGCAATCTTGAGGCTTGAGCAGGCTCGCACGTTCATTGCATCGGCAGTGGCCATAAATTTGTGGGTCACGTGGAAGAGGTATGGGCTGACTGCCAGTTCATCCTTCACCAGGCAGAGCTGCGGCAACGCAGACTCAAACATCTTGAATATCGAAAGGAAACTTTCGAGCTGTCGCCGCACCAAGCCTTTTCGTGAAAGCCGATAACAAGCCCATGAATCACATAATTTAGCTTCACAAGGACAGAATCTGTAGGCGGCGGAAAGAGAGACAGATCAGCAGAAAATGCCGTTGGTATCTTGTTCTTGGGAGCGACTCCCAGGACTGAACTCGGATTCCACACACGGTTTAGGGCTGTTCGGGTGCACAAATAGAATTAGCTTGTGCAGCTTCGACGGCCGTCAAAGGGCTGTTGGAATTTTCGGACGATCCTTGCTTTTAGAAACCCCTGATGCCTGTGAATCAGTGAAAGCATGCAAGAAAAGTTTCTTTGCACTCAGGGCTGCCTGGACTTCATCGAGGTGCTGGAGAGAGAAGTCTTGCCCCAGCTAAGTCCGATGTGCCTTTGGCATGGTACTTTCTGGCTTAGCCGTCTTCAGCCTTACGTCATGTGCCTTCAGGTTGAGATGGCAAATCCGCATTGCCCTGGGCTGCTCTGAAGGTCAGCATCCGCAACAGGGATGCGTGCGTGAGCTCAATGAAGACCTGGGCTGACTGCAGCTTGCCTTCACAGGAAGACCTCTGGATCCCGATGTCACGCAAGCGGACCGCCGCCGTTGGAGGGATTGCGCGCGTTGGTGTTCCACAACAGCAGCCCTGCACTGGTGCAAAGTTTACAAGGACATTAAGGCGGCGAAGGTGTCTCCCCGAGATTCGGTATCAGATTTCTTTGGAGAAGTCTCTGAAAGTGCAGCTCAGCTGCAAGGTGGCGCTTTACCAGACAGTGCCCATGATGGTCTACGTGGACTGACCCGCTCAGCTCCGGGAGCTCCCAGCGGAATTCCGCCTTGCCAGGAGGAGCTTTGGCGGGATGCCAACCCAGAAGAATCCAGCAAGCGACCCTAGCTGGCGTGTGCAGCCTGCAGTGCGGGGTGTCCTTTGGTGCTTGCTTCTTTGCTGCCCGTAGCGTTTTGAATGGAAAGGGCGCACGGCCTTCAAGTTAAGTTGCCAAGCAAACCCACGGATCCGTCTGCATGAACAGCATGATGTGAATAGGGGTGTGCCTGTTCAGCAGCATGGCAATGGCTACCACCCGCCGGCGATGCAATCTGTGGAGGCTTCGTCTTTCCAGCCGTCGCGACGTGTGCAAAAGAGGAGACTTTCTGCAACACCATGCAGCTCCTGTTGTTTCGCTCTTTGACTCTCCGATCGTTAGATTCTTCGTAGATCCTTTATCTTTCCGTTGTCGTCTTTGTCTTCAGGGTGTTTGGATCTAGAGCATACTTGTGTCAGCCCTCATGTGACTCATTTGTAGATCAGCGTCTGACATCGGGGGCCAGAGCAGGATCCTCAGGAGCCGGATCTATGATGACTCCAAGCCGACGGGCCTTCGAAGTTTGCGGAAGTTGCAGAGCCCGAAGGAGCTTACGGCCGCACTCTCTGAGCTTGGGCGGAGGCAGCGCTGGCATGATGCACTCAGTGCAATGCAGATTCTGGCTCATGCGGGCCGTTCCTGGTTGGTGAGTATTGAAGCACTCAATGCTGCCATCACCTGCTGCAGCAGCGGGACTTGGCAGGGGTCGCTCGCGCTGCTCAGCACCGCGAAAATGATGTCACTAAGGCATTCGCTGGTAACTGCAGGAGCGGCAATAAAAGCTGCAGGAGCACAAAGCGCACATGGATCACTCGCAGACCACTCCAAATGGCACAACGCGCTGCATCTGCTGTCCTGCATGCGCCAGCACAGCATGATCCCTAACATCAGGCACCACAACGCAATTCTATATTGTTCGCTCTCTTGGTCGACAGCACTCTGCATTTTCAAATCTGTCTTGACTTATGAATTAGAACCCACGGAATTCACGAGTAGCCTGCTCATGAAGAAGCTGGAGACCAACTGGCCCTTGGCAATTCACAGCTTCCTTTCGATGCAGCGCCTGCGCTTGGAGCATGATGCCATTAGCGGAAATGCAGCACTACGGGCCGGCGCCGGCAATCGCCGAGTGTCCCGCGAATTCTTGCAGCATCTCATCAGTGCAGGAGTTCCAGTGGACTCTGCTACTTGCAGTTCTGCCGGCAGTGCTTTGGATTCGGAGCGTATTTGGGATTTGCTGCAAGATGTGCGCGCATCGGTTGTGCAACCTGACCTTGGGGCCTACACGTCGGTTCTGGGAGCTTTTGACAACGATGGTCGCTGGGAGGCGGCTCTAGGGGTTTTGCGATCAATGGCCATGGATGGGGTCCAGGCTCGAATCTAAGAACAAAACAGAGATGGGAGAACTTTGCTTGTGACATGTTGGGACATGCTTGCACCGAGGCAAGCTTAAATCCATATGCAGCCGCTCAAAGTGCATGTGAACGATGCCGGCAGTGGATGGAAGTGGTGGATCTGATTCGAGCTTTGAAGGGCTCGAGCGCGCAGTTGGATCTCGTTGTCCGTTCGGCGGCCATCTCTGCTCCACAAACAGGCCATGTCTTCGTTTTAAAATCCCTGAACCTTGAAACGACCGTCCCTTGTTGCAGCTCTCCTCTCGTCTGCTCAAGAAGCTCCTCCGTCGCCGAGGTGGGAGCTGGCAAATTGCCTTGCAGAGCTTCTGCCAGCTCGCCCTGGAGCGGACGTGTGCGCGTTGCTGTTTTGGAATTCGCTTGACTTCTGATATGTCATCTAGGAGACCCTGGCCCCGGACGTCGTGTCTCATGGAGCTGCCGGGTTCTCAGAGAACCCTCCGCTGTGCGTAGCACCTGAGCTTTGTACCGAACCTTCCGTCACTACTCACAACCCTCTTTGCGTACTGATACTGGCCGGCTCTGCGGGGGGCCGTCTCCACCAAGGTCCTCAGCGCAGCCGAGGCCGGGCATCAGTGGCACTCTGCGATCTCAGCCCTCTGGAGCAGTCGCCATTTGCTTCTTGGATTTGGGCCCTGGGCCAGAGTAGAAGTCGAAAACCTTCAAGTCTTCCAGGTACATGATATGCGGCTTTGGGGCTCCCTTTTATCCTATCCTGCGAAGTCAACCACTTTCGGGCAGTGGCCCTAGATAGAGGGACATCCTGTTTCCGGCGTCCCGGCCATTTCAACGGTCAATCAAAGCACTCAACCCAAACTAACTCGCAGATCGGCTTCCACCGGCTGCTTCTGTTTCGCCCCCAGGCACCCATCACATGTTGTGTTGTCCTTGACGCATGCGTGCCCAAGTGCACGAGATTAAGATAATATCGTGTGGCGGCGGAAGCCACCACGTCTATCCACGTCTTTCTATCAAGCAGCAGAGGGACGTCCGTTCTTCATTGGCTTCGTGAGCGTCTCCCTTCCAAATTCCACCGGACCGCATGTCGACCCTCTAAAGTATAGGAGTCAACCTAAGTGTTTCTGTTATGGGGCCGAACCGTTCAATGTTTCCCATACTCTCTTCGACTGCCAGTTCGAGTGTATTCGTGAGTGTCATGTGGTCGGGCAAGGAAGCCGGACGTCATATCCTGCAATTCGGCAGAGCCTTGGCTGATGCAGCTGCTATTGTATGAGCTGCATGACGACAGCACTTCAATTAACACTCCTGATGATGACTGGTTCAGGTGAGTGCCTGCGAAAAGGCGAAGTCCTGGGTAACAGCTGTCAATATCGTTACGCAAGACATGGCGTGGTGTCGCATCTTGCCTGATGCCATTAGTTCCCTGGCTCTGAAAGAAGATCTGTAACTTGAGCCGCAAGCCGGCAAAGGCTGAAAGGAGCAGTGCATCTTTCTGTGCCCTTGTTTTGCTCTCTGAGGTTGTAGCTCTGCCATCCTGGCATGCACGGACACGAGCTGCTGGGGGCAGGGGCTCCTCATGGTCTCGTTCGCACAGCAACAGGACATCACGCCACAGGCAGTGAGAGCGCATTTCCGGTCAGAGCTGCCAGCATGGATGTCCTCCATCGCATCGACAGAACCCCCGTGTGAGGTAGGCAGTTTCGGCGCGCTACTCACAGAGTGTCGCTTGGTGCAAGTAGACCTACCAGGTCACGCTTCCAAAGCAAGTCTAGCCGAGGTGAGCGTGCCAGTCCATCTTTGGTCGCTTGCCAGCAGGAGCTCCTCAGTGGATCCTTGCGGGCGGCCGGACTGGACCAGATCCTGCCAGAGCAGAGAAAAGTGCCAGTGCCACGTCGTACAGCTTCTTGAAAGAAAGGCTTTGACGCAGTGCTTCTCTGTGTCTCCAGTATTGACTATTTCCAGGTCGCAAGCTACGCTTCGTGGAGCTCTGCTGTCCTCAGGAAAAGCATGTCTGCTTTATAAGCTGGTGCATGCTGGTGACAGTACTGCATTGTGGGCGTGAGGATGACCGGCACCACACTTTGCGACGGGACTTCGGAAAGTTCGATGAGAAGAGATTCAATGAGCCCCGATCTCAGCTTCTTGCGCCGCATTTGCCCGAAAAGCGCGGTGGCACTGATGATCGCGGCGACGGAACTGAATTCAGACGGTTTCGCGTTCGATGACACCGGGGGCTGAGCTTTCTTCCCGAAGTTGCGCAGCACGGGAGCTACTGAAATTGGCTCAACATGGCACTTCAGATTCCGGACCTTCATCACTGACGACGAGCAGAATCGCGGCTCGGGGCTTGGGTGCCGCCAAGTAGCCAAAACGCTGATCAGCGATAATTAGATACTCTATACCCAGGTGGAGCAAACCGTCAGACAGACTTCTTCCGCCTGGTCTTAGGCTTACTCGCATCGCAGGTCGGGTAGTTTGAACGTCTTTGCGGGCCGTCCAGGTCTATAGACAATTGAAGGCAGTGGCTGCCTTTCCAGTCCAGGCATGGCCAGGGCATGGCAAGCAGCTTGAAATATCAGAAAAGACACGAAGCCATCTGCTAGAGGAGAACTTTGCAGCAGCCGTTCTGGCAGCGTCCAAAGCGCAGGATCTCAAGGGACCTGGAGTCAGCGGGTACTGCGCCTCTTAAGACGTCCAGCGTGTTTCATATCTACATATTTACCGATGCATGTCATAGATTGTTTTCAGCCTGGAGCCTCCGCACACCGGCGCGAGCTCCCATGTGCGGGCATCCTGCTTGACTTCACAGGTCTTTCAGGGTACCATCCCGGACTTTGTTCGCAGCCGGGACTCCCGCGCTGATGACATTCGCGAGAACTGATAGCATTGAACCCGGTCAAGAGGGATCGCAGGAAAGGGGGGAAGCTGACAGGCTTCATAATCGACTGGAGCGACATTCACAAGAGTAGGCGGACTTGGAGACATCCAAGGTTGCCAGATCGAAATGTTTTGACACGCGGTGTGTGTTTGTTTTTAGCTGTCTTGGCGAACTCATGCTGGGCACACACGGGCAAGAAAGCATGGTGCTGCTTAACCACGTTTCGTGACTCGACGGGCTTAGACTTCGTCACATGCAGCTGGTTGAAAGCAGACTTCGTCACATGCAGCTGGTTGAAAGCAAAGGTCGCTGACCCACGAAGCAGCATAGGTCGGGGGTTTTGGTTATGCCAGGCGTTATCCAACCCAAGCGATTCTAATCTAGAGGAAGGACGCCGACCGGGACCAGGCACACTGTTGCGACACTTGAGCGGAGCTATAGCCGCGTAAATTTTCAGCCCTACGCCACGGCAGCATCCACATAATCCGGTTTTGACGTTCTTTGCTGCAGTTGGAGAATTTCCAGTCCTCAGCTGGAACAAATGCTTCAAGTCATTGCCGTTCTGTTGAGAGCAGGAGAATCTGAAGCAACCCGGACTCAGTGACCAAGACATTGCCGTCGTCCAGCGTGAGCAGGAGCTTCTAGAGGCAGCCTCAACGCCTTGAGGTCGTGGAAGCTTAGAGTCTTAGAGTCTCTTGTCTTGCAGGGCGGCGCTCGGTGGATCTGTCTCATGCTCAAGGTCCAGGCCGCATGGGATGGTATAGGCGGTTTACAAAGATTTGGCATCGGCATCGAGTGCAGGCCGTGGCCCCCGGTTTGTTTCCGAAGAAGCCGCCAGGGTCACAGATGGCACTTGACGCTCCCATCTGGAGAAAGCGTCGCCCTTCTATTCTCTAGAAAGAGAAGGACAAGCTGAAACAGAGCGGTGGTGCATGCACCCATTTTTGGCCGAGTGGAAGAAGAGAGTATCTGTTGCGTGAAGACCCGAAGCGGATTCACCCAGCTGTAGCTAACTGGAGCCCAACACCGAGATCGCACCGCGAGCAGCGCTGTAGCTGGCATGCCTGTGACAGTGTGAAAGTTGCGGTTAGCATGGTATGTCTTCTTTTCCAGAACGGTCGGTTGGAGCGGCTGCATGGGGCACAGCACAAATTCCGATTTCTGGAGATGAGGCCTGGGGGCGGAGACGGGGCCAGGTTGTGTTGCGTTTTGTGTTCGGTGTCGGGGGGTCTCAGCTCAGAAAATCAAAGCCGACCCAACCGGCGGCAACGCCCGCAGCGATCCACTCCGTAATACAGGGGCGGGGCGATGGCCTCAGGGCAAGAGGCCACTTGGATGACCCTAAGCCCAACAGAAAACAAAAGATAGAGAGAGAGAGAGAGAGATCTTTTACCAGCCCGCAAGAGAGTCACCGTAGACGTAGACTCTTAGGGGCACTCGCGGGTGACTGAGGCGACAGGTTACTCCCGAGGTGTAAGTGCTGTTGCTGCCTTAACTAGCACCTGCCAAAGTCACCAGCGACAAGTGCGGAGCACAAAACCTGCAGAAGTGTGGCCGTCGAGGTACAACCACTGTTGTCGTTCTGTACAAGTTACTTCTTAGCTACCTGCTACCTTTCGCGACGCCACTCTACCAGTACTCCGAGGGAACACAGAGTGCTTAACCTGTAGCTCTTCCTGGGCCCGGGCCTTAGCGTACTTGCGTCTGCTTGTTTCGAGCACAGTCCCAGGAGTACCCGCCTTGAAGGGGCACACAGTTTCTTGAACAGCCGAGCCCATCCGTCGAAAATGATGGATGGGGCAGCGCTTGCGCGCGGGGGGCCTGCCCCCGCCTCAAGCCCTAAGCAAAGCAAAGCAAAGAGATCTTTTACACTGAACGCAGAAAGGGGGACTCTCTTCCACGAAACATAGTGCACTAGCCAGCTGTAATCGTGCTATGCACTTTCGGCGGGGGCCTCAGTTCTTCGTTTGCAGCGAGGAAAGTTGCTCCACAGAGGCCTTTGTATAGCCGAGCCCGAGGGGATTAAGTCCCTTAGGGAGCCCTTGAAAGCCTGTGACCCGCAGGTGCGCGTTCGCGCGCGGGGGGGGTAGGTGTCCGCCTGCCCTCTCTGTCCTGGTAGAGAGAGAGAGAGAGAGAGAGAGAGAGATCTTTTACCGACACCCCCACAAGGCCCCCAAACAGGGGCGCGCCATCCGGCGCGGGGAGCCTGACCTGCTCCCTGTACCCGGAGGAGAAGAAGAGAGAGAGAGAGAGAGAGGGCCCATGAGGCCGAGGGACCTGACCCGTCCCTCATGCCCGGGGGCAGAAGAAGAAGAGAGAGAGTGTCCCGATATCTTGTCATCCTGATGAGAAACCCCGTGCAGTTTTCACGTCCCTTCAAAGCCCCACAACATATGGGGGGTCATTAGGCCGGGGGACCTCGACAGTCCCTTATGGTCTGTGGAAGAAGAGAGTGGCCCTAGCCCTGACGAAAGAAAGAGAGAGGGTGGGTTTAAAGGTGCAACGGGGGAAGAACCCCGGAATTCTCACGCCGACTTGCGCAAGACGCAGTACAGACTGGAGCCCCTACGGGGGGGTCACGACCCCCTAGCTTTGAAGCGAGCAAGCAAGAGAGAGTGGCCATTTGCGCAGACCCGGACCCGCAGAAAGGAAGTGGCCATTTTGGCTCAAGTGTCCGGGGGGAAGACACGGTGTTAGCCTGAGGTTGTGCCGTCAAGAGAGCAGCGGCGCTTGAGTCGCATATCCTTCGCCACTTTGCTTAAGAGGCCCTTTCGCCCCCAGCAGCAACGCAAGAAGAATAAGAAGAAAGACAAGAAGGACAAGCAGACCAAAACACGGAGCCGAGCTCCCAGCCACCTAACATGAGAAAGACCCGCCCTCAGACAACGCGAGCATGGGTGCGGAGCCCCGCTCCCGCGCAGGAAGACACGGCTTACCCCGGGGCCCACTTGGAGAGACGTACAGCGGGTACAAGATAAGAACACATGAGGCAAAGCCGGGGGACGCAACGTCACCATAAGCCATGCAACTGAGGGGCGGCAACAGTTTTGTGGGGGAAGTGCGATGATCCAAGTTGTCGTTTGGACGTTGCCATAGCGCTGTCAGGTTTACTGTCTGGCAAGCATTACATCAACCTTCCTGGAGAGTTCCATAGTTCGCAATGCCGAGCTCAGTCCAGACGGGCCGCGGAGCCAGGTCTCAACTGCCGATGGGGGCCTTGCATTTCTGTAAGTCCGATGCCCAACATTCGGATTCGCACATCAATTCGAAACAGGAACACTCGCTATACAGGCCCAATCTTTTTTGCTGCACGGTTCGATGTTACAAGTGTTGCTGCAGAAGTGCCGAACAGTTTTGGGTATTGAACAGTACTGGTACACTCAGGGGGACCGACCACTCTTTGCTTTCAGTATGTTTGGGAAATGTACTTTATGACTAGGCCATGTCACTGATGCTTCACACTTTACACAGTGTCTTCGCCGCAACCAGTTCCCGAACCGGTACGTGGCTAAACTAAAGAAAGGGATCCATCCGTCTTCATGACCTGCATGTGTGTTTGTTGCAGTGTTGCTTCTACGAGGATGGACTCCCAACCGCTAACAGCAAAAAGGGGATCCATCCGTCTTCGTGACCAATGTGTTCCAGTTACAGTGTTGCTGTTCTAGTTACAGTGTTGCTTTTGCGAAGATGGACACCCCACCGCTAACAGTCTCCGGTGAAAACATAGGCTAGGCATACAGCCCGGTGCTCTGCATTGTTGTTGCATGAAAGGGTGGACTCTTATGTAGCAAGCAGTAGCGTCCAACAAGGGGGAGTGCGCGTTTGCAGGAGCTAAGGACGTAGCCTTGCACGACACTGGGACGGGGCCCGGACGTAAGCTGAAGTTCATGGGTGTCGGGGGGCTCCTTCAACAGCAGATGTCTCCAAGACGGACAAGGGAGCGAAAGCCGCTCGAACACATGGGGAGAGGGTCCCCTTGGCGCGGGTCTGCATGCGTAGACCTAGACCTGGAACCACGGAAAAAATAAGAGTGGGCTCCCGTCCCTTCTTTCTGTCATGGTAGAGAGAGAGAGAGAGAGAGAGACAGAGAGAGAGAGAGAGTCCCCGAAACGGGTCCTACCTCGCATTGACCTGAATTGGAGGGGCAGGCCTTCGGGCCTTGCGCCCCAAACCCGCGACACTCAAGCAAGCAAGACCGAGACAGTTCGTACAGGGGAGACCGAACTGTCGCGAACCGTCACGCACCAGGGTTGCGCAGAGTGTGTTGTCAAATGGTTCAAGCGGACGTTCCCATTCCTTCCGTCCCCCGGCTCCCAATATAAGCTGTGCCCCAACGTAAAACCCCCCCGTCCACTACAGTCTAAAAGAACTCAGCAAGAGAGAAGAACTACTTCAGTTCTCTGTTGTGCGTCGGGGGTTTGATTGGGCTTCGAACCAAACACCACAAGGCCAGAAAAATCTGATAAAGATCCTCCCCGGTGAGCACCTTAGAAGTTGCACACAGGTGATTGTGAGCATGGGCACGAACCATCCGTCTGATCCTTCGGTCCGAGGCATAACAGCAAAGGCCGCCGCATGTCTGCGGCAACACATTTGGCTGGCAGGCCGTTTGCGTGGATCTGTTCTTGGTTTATGTATCTGACAACGGCAACCTGCAATGTTTGCAATGCTTGGTGTGTAAATGGTCAGAGTCAGAAACTGCTTGTTTCCGTGGCCCTTAAATTAAAGCCACATTGACTCAATGTAACTCAACTCTTAAAGCTGCCCATAGCTCTAGTTCGCAAGTCGGGTAGAGGTCAAAGAGTCCCCCAATCCCAGTCCAATCCCAAGATCGCGAGCCTGAGAGTAATGCGGACCATGCGGTTTCCGACTTCGGCCTGGCTGCAACGTGACAATCGGTTTGGGGTGTTAAGAGCTCCCGGCATAGTTCGCTATCGCGGCCCAGGCCATGCAAAAAAGAGTTGAATTGTGCGAGCAGTTGGCCATCGTCGGCTTGAGCAACCACGTAGTTTGAGCATGTTGGGACTGAAGCTCATTCAACTACAGGTAATTAGCCAAGTAGCCCTTTGTGATTGGCGTTTCCGTTTGGGGGTCACGCCTTCCCAGCTTCTCTGCAGATTGTGAAGAGGAACTGGAGAAAAGTCATGGGCACTCCCGACACCTCACCACCCCACTTTGCAGAAGGGACCGCAGGGTTCTTTCCCACCTTGGCAGGCGTGGCTCTACTGTCAACGCTTGGGAGGCAGTGCCAGATTGTACAGCAGTGCTTTTGCTTCAAGCCGTGCAACGAGGCACTGGAGGCAGTAAAGGAAGGCTGATCCAGGCCTGCAGTGACCTGATTGCGTTTCGCAACTTGGTCGGAGGAGGCAGCGGCCTCTGTATGGCGCATTTCTTGCTCAAGCTGAGCGTAAGCATGAGTAGACTTAGCCATCCACTGGCAATCGCAGGCCATATCAGGCCAGAATGCGATCCGCCTTGGAATTCTCATGAATCCGATCGCTTCATTGAGCGCTTTCCTGTCAGGCTCGCGAGGCTCCTGAGGCTCGCGCGGCATGGCTGGAGCTTCCGTGGAGTTGTCGTCACTCAGGCGCTGTTGCTTGTGGTGAAGTTGACGTGCCCTTTCATCCTCTACATCTTAACCGCTTCCGATTGGCGGCTCCAGCCCAACCGTAGCAATCACATGGATGAGTGGAGCGCATCGATGCGAGCATATTGAACGTGAGCCGCATGATCCCGCTGAGTTCTTGACAAGTACTCTTTCGCTTTGTTGCAGTCGTGCCATGGCCCAGCAGCGACGAGTGAGGCAGATTGCTGCCTCCCTCACTGCTTCAACGAAAGCCGACAGCAAAAGCCCAGAGCTTATTCCAATCCAATATGAGCAGCACTGCAGATTGCTGGAGTCAGAATGGGCCGCCGAGCATTTGCGTTGGATGATTCAGAAGGATGCCCTCGGACAAGATATGTTTCTGCTGGGCCCCCACTCTCCTTTGCGCCGCTGGTTGGCATATCGATTCTGTGAGATCGCAGGCGAGGCATGATGATGTGTTTGTCCGTGTTTTGATGCCATCAGAAAGCCCTCAGTCCTGAAGTGCTCCTCTAGGCTAGTGTTGAGTGGCGGTTACACGAAACATCTAGTATGCATCATCGGCAGTACTAGACACAACCCGAATCGAAAACACCCGAACTCTCACCGAGATGTCAGGAAGGTTGCCTGGCTTGTGCTCGAGGGAGTGCCGTTTAGATACAAGCAACTAAAGTTTCACTTTCGACTGGACTTTGGCCACGCTGCATGAACAAGGAGGTTCGGAAGGAAGGTGCGGGGCATCGTCTTATGCTCCGGCATCCAGAGCTGGCCAAACCCGCAGCGGAACTTTCAAGATGCCTTCTTCCACACTCAGCAGGGCAGGGTTCCAAGTTGAGGGCTCGTGATAGCTTGGATAATGGATCTAGCTGCATCTAGCTGCTATGAGGCGGTTCCAACCAAGTGATACGGAGCCTGAGCCCTCGGAGGAAGCTTGCAGGGCAGTGTGGAGCCGGGCGGCAGCTTCGTGCCGCTGGGCAGATCCGAACTGGGCACCGGTGCAGAGCAGAAGGAAGCCAGACGACCTCTGGCCCCACGGCCCATGCTGGCTGATCAAGCTGAGAGTGCATCTTGCAGACTTGCAGAACTGCAAGCTTCACGGGCGTGCCAAACGCAGGATCACACCTGTCCTGAAACGCCGCCGGAATGTGCTCAAGATGAAACTTCGCGCACCGGCATGGGCGTCCGCTTTTCGATGACATGCGTTGTTGACGCCTGATTTAAGGAGCCTTGTGGGAACCGTTAGGAAGGAGGGGCCGCGAGCACAGGAATAAACATCGGAAGATGCGCATTGCAGTTCAACGACGGCTCCTCGAAAGATGTCATCTCTCGCCAGAGTTGTTGCACCACCGTTTTTGTAGATAGCTTGTCAGCAGCCGCATGATAATTGTGACCCCCAGGCCCAGAAAAGCACAGGCTGCCTTGGGGTGAAGAAGTTGACTGCATGTCGCAAGTTGTAACTAAGGCATAAGGCAGGTGCATGGCATCTGGCATAAGGTCTACTGTACCAGCTCTTGTCAGGTGTCGCTGCTTTTCTAACCTTGTCGTCTTTTTCAACCCCGAATCTTTTTTGACCTGAGTCATCTGATTCCTGACCTCGTGCCGCCGATCGATTGTTGCATGCCTGAAAACCAACCTCGGCCATCCGAGAACCAACCTAGTCCCACAAGTGAAGCATCTTGATTTTGGATGTTCTTTCTTTGTCGGATCCGAAATTTAACTTCGTTCATCTGAAAACCGACCTCAACCGTCTGAAAATCAACCTCGGCATCTGAAAGCCAACCTGGCCCAAGTGAAGCTTGTTCGACAGCGAGTTTTTGGTTACCATCTGGAGACTAACCTTTGCAGTGCCGCATAGCAGCCATGGTGCATAGCACCAGCCACGTAGCGGCTTCTGGTGCATGGCACCAGCCCACGCACCAGCCGCATAGCGGCGGAGGGCTGCATAGCAGCCGTGGTTACCCAAGCTGACAAGACATGAATCACCGCGAGACAGGCAATCCACAGGTACACGATGAAGACATGTGCAGGCACTTCCGGGTTCCGGAACTATGTGTCAAGAAACGCGCTTTTGTATCTTTTTGTAAGCACTGCAACATGCGCTGAGGGGCGGGCAGTGCGATTTTGTCGCCTTGGCAATCGCATTGTGTTGTTGGGAGGGAGTGCAAGTTGCCAAGGCCGCTCTGAGGTCTGTGTGTATTTATGCGCAGTTGCGGGTTGTGGGGGGTTCTAGGGGGCCCTTGTGTACATACGCAGTGGACAGCGGCTCAGACCCATCCTCCTCCTTCCCTCTTTGATTTCGATTGCGGATGCAGTGTGGGATGCGGGGGTGGTTTCGTTTCTTGGCTAGGTTTAGGGTTTAGCACATGCTGAATTTTTTTGGGTTTAGCCGAGGTCCCCATTTTGCAGCGGAAGCCCGGCGTAGGGATTAGGGTGCCTAGCTCAGGCAAAGCGGGCACGTAGGGTTTGCAAGCACGGAAGCTCAATTGCTCCAGCCGGTGATGAGGTATGTTGCAGGAGGTGGGGCAATCTGCAATAAGCCGGGAGAGCGGAGCTCAGAAAGCAGAAGTATGCCGCCCCAGTCTTTTCCACTACGAGTCCCCTGAACGGTCGTCCTCTGATTCCTGATGTGGTGTCAGATCACGCTCTTTCTGCAGCGGCTCGATCCTTGACTGCCGCTGTTCACGTGCTGATTTCACTTTGGCATCCTCCACAATCCTCCATGAATGATCCTCCAGTTCCTTTGTGGCTCCCGCCTTAGTACGCGAGTTTGACTCGCTTGACAGGTGTGAATGCGCGTGTCCTTGCATTTGGCAGGTCGAGAGTGCGAGTTCCTGGCGCTGACTCCAGATACCTCAGAAGCCGACCTCAAGATGCGACGTGAGCTTCGAATGAGCGAGCAGGATAGTGATCGGACATTGTCCGTGATTTGGTTTGACCAGGCCGTCGTGCGAGCGGCTTTGAATGGTCGTGTACTGATACTTGAAGGCCTGGAGAAGGCGGAGCGCAATGTACTGCCACTTTTGAACAACCTCCTTGAGAACCGAGAGATGCAGCTTGAAGATGGTCGTTTCCTTGTTGCGCCGAAGAGATACGACAACTTGGTAGCTGGTCGCAGCCGCCTGCAGCATCTACAGCAGCTGAAGCTTGTGCGCGTGCATGAGGACTTTCGAGTCATTGCGCTTGGGGTTCCTTCACCACCTTTTCCTGGCAACCCATTGGATCCTCCTTTGCGATCACGCTTTCAGGCTCGCTTCATTGATCGAGTTCCGCTCGACGTACTTCTATTCCAACTGCAAACGCATTATGCTCCGCATGCCTCGGCAGAGTGTGTTGAAGAGCTCTTAAGTTTTCATGAGGGCCTTTGGGCACTCATGAAACTACAGGCGCAAACATCCGGCACTGAGGCAAGGAATTTGGCTTTCGGCTCACCTTGCTTTCCCTGTGAAGAGTCTTTGATTTCAGCTGCTCAGCTGCTCGAGCTTGCACCAGGTTTGTCGGTACACCACGCAGTGAGCGCGATTTTTCCCTTTGGTAAAGCCAGTGGACTCCTAAGAGCAGAGGCAGCGCAGCTGGTTACAAGTATTTTGCCACCTCAGCCTCAGAGTGAAGTTGGCGCCCCACCTCCAGTTCTGGAGGAAGTCTTGGAGGAGGGTGCAGAAGCATGTGTTAAGATTCGCATCTGTAGAGATCTGAGAACATTTCGCTGCCGACGCGGACCGGACAAGGTCCAGCATGTGGCTCTGGATCTGCCAGACCACCAGAGGATTCTGACAGGAATGCTCCTTTCTGCGCTGGTCGGTCGAGACATCTGCCTCATTGGCCCGAGAGGAGAAGGCAAAACATTTCTTGCCAGGCAGTTCGGACATGCTTTGGGATATTCTCGTTTGGAGACACTGTTCTTGCACGAGGAAATGACAGCTCGAGATTTGTTTCAACGCAGGGCCACGAACAGGCAAGGCGAGAGCACATGGGAGCCATCCCCACTTCTCCAAGCGATGCAGAACGGTGGTCTTTGCGTGCTTGATGGCTTGCAACAGCTCCGTCCAGGAAGTTTGGCGTCCTTGATTCAAGTAATTCAAGATCGCGAGGTTACACTGTATGATGGCACCCGCTTTGTCTCGCCATGGCGGTGGAAGGTTCTGATGTCACTCGGCTTGACTTCGGAGCAGCTGTCCAGCAGAGGCTTGCGCTGCACACATCCAACATTCCGCCTGGTGGCTTTGGCGACCCCCAATGATGCACACCGTCGAAGTTGGCTCACAAACGAAGTGCTGCAGCTTTTTCATTTTTTCACACTGCCACTGCAGCCAGAGCTTGTGCCTGTCATTGCCGCTGCTGTGCCTGACTGCCCGGACAGAGTTGTTCGCTCGCTGCTTCGCGTGCGCCAGCTTCTTTATGAGGCCTCGCAAGACTCCGGCTCATCTCTATGGACTGGCACCAAGGATGATGGTGCCAATCCTTCAGTGATGCTGTCGTTGCGTGCAATTCTGCGTGCAGCAAGGACGGCAGCAGCCGCACCAAGTACTGTTGATATTGCATCGGAAATTGGTGCATACCTGCAGTCAGCTCTGATGACAGATTTTATGCCAGCAGCTGAGAGCGGAGCTGTGTTGGCTGTCCTGCGAGCCGCCGGGTTTCGCGTTCATTCCAAACAAGCACGCTTGCAGGATGCTGCTGGCATGGCTGTTCAAGCAGCAGACCTAATGGATTCAGAGCCAACCTTGCGGATTGGAACCGCTGTTTGCAGAGTACAAACACCGCTTGAACAGGCACTGGTCCCTGAAACCCAGTTCTTTCACAATCCACAGCAAACTCTGGCACTGCACGATATGCTTCGCGACATTGCAGCCTCTGAGCACTTGCTTTTGATGGGCAACCAGGGCGTTGGCAAGAACAAGCTCATCGACAAAATGCTTATGCTGTTGCACCGGGAGCGTGAGTACATCCAGCTACACCGCGACACCACTGTGGGCTCGCTTACCTTGGTGCCAAGCTTGCGCAATGGCCTCTTGTGCTATGACGACTCGCCTCTGGTGAAGGCCATGATCAACGGTCGAGTTCTTGTCATCGATGAATTCGATAAGGCTCCCACGGAAGTCGTGCTAACTCTTAAAGGACTCCTGCAGGATGGTGAGATCCTCCTGGCAGATGGCAGACGCTTCGTGCGGCACCGGAACATCCATGAGGCGTTCCTCGTGGTGGCCTTAGCAAACCGCCCGGGATTTCCGTTTTTGGGCAATGATTTTTTCCGTGAGATGGGGGACTGCTTTGCATGCCATGCCGTCCAGAACCCGGACCAGGTGTCAGAGGTCGCCATGCTGCAGTCCTATGCACCGCAGGTCCCGGTGGCGTTGTTGGAGATGCTGTCTGCATCTTTTAGCGAACTGCGGCAAATGGTCGAAGATGGAAAGCTCTCGTACCCATACTCAACCCGAGAACTAGTCAACATCGTGCGCCACCTGGCCGTGTATCCAGATGACTCCATTGACAGTGTCATGGAAAACGTCTTCGCCTTTGATGCCTTCGATGCACAGCTTCGACAAGTGGTCTTCAGCATTTTCCGCCGTCATGGGCTGCCTCTGGCGTCCGACTCTCCAGGCATGGCCGTGGCTCGGAGACGCACGCGGATTGCAGCTGCCGTGCATCTCGGCCCACCTGAGAAGGTGGCCACCTTCCAGCGCTCTCATAGCAACCGATCCGCAGCGATTTGTGTGGCCTGTGTGCTTTATTCTTTGGGCTTGCGAGTTCTGACTTGCACAGTTATGGAAGAATTCGGTGTTTGGCTCAGGCGAGCAGGCTCAGCAAGCGATGCTGGAGAGCCCTTTGCTGGAAAGCTGGCGACGGTTTGAAGGCTGTCGTGAAGAGAACATGAGTTCACACGCATATCCAAGAGAAGTCCATGGTCTAAGGTTTGCTGCAGGCTTGAAGCAGGTTGAGTAGGAAAGTTTGATCTGTGATGTGGAGATGTGTCTGGGAGCGGCTGGTGCTTCCAGGTGGTTGGCTTCCATTCAAGAGTAAGTCGTCGAGATCAAGAGAGTTCTCAGAAGAGGATCGCTGGTGGGCGCTGGGCTTCGTCACGACGGACGGTGTCGTCATCAAAGGCCACTCTCTTGCCATTAGAGTCCATATCACGTCGAAAAACCAAGGTGCGATTGGTCCACGTTCTTTGGTGCTCAGGGTAGTCCAGCCGTGAATGGTTGAACAGGTTTACAGGTCTTGGGAAGATAGCTGAACATGCCCTGTAAATTGAACATCAACCCTCAGTCTGCTTTGGCCGGGTACTCGGCTAGACCGGCCAGATAGGAACCACGACGAAGCACACAAAGCAGGAAACTTGGGGCTCAGAGTGTCGCGACTGTGCTCCTGTGGTGATGTGATGGTGCCCGCGTGTCCAGTGCGGATTCGCTTTAAGAGGATTCGTTATTGGAGTTGGTTGTGTCGCTGGGCAGGTGCGAAAGCTGTCCAGTGCTCGTAGCTCGCTGTTGGCGAAATACTTTGAGTGTTAGTCGCTCGCGCATGAGATCAAGAATCGCGGGTTCCTTCGAGTTCATGCGAGACTGAGGCAAGGACCCCATCACGGGTTCTTGGCTGGGAGCGTTGCTGGGCATGGCGTCAGCACAAGGGTGCTTGTGCATCCTTAGTAGCCAGATGGCGCTGCACGTTTATGACGTGCATCGTGAAGCTTATTGTGAAATCAGCTTGGCAGCCGGCAGCACGCTCAAGGATCGTGCGTCTTATGCAATCGGGTGTTCGCTACTTCCCGTGAGGGATTCAAAGGGAGGGTGTGTCTGCACCTACGATACGCGAAATGCTGCACATCTGAGCATATGGCCTGCCGATGGGGTCGTTTACAGCTTGAAAGTGCAGCCCCCAAGTTCGCCTCAAGAGGCAAAGATCGTCTGTGCAGGGCTGTTGGCAGATTTGCCATTGGCGATTTACCATGCAGAGTCAGGGAGCGAGCTTCTGCTCGTTCGCTGCGGCTCTTTCGACTCGGCATCTCCAGGAGTTGCAAGACTTGCTTTGGATCTGCATCCAGGCAGCACTGGAAGCCTCGCGATATCTCTCGATCCATGCCCATGCCCTGGCATCCATGCCCATGCTGCATAAACATGTCCAGCTGCAGGCCCGCCAAGATGGGTTTGCTGGCAGTCTACGTTCTCAGTCGCGAGCGCATTCTACTCAGATGCGCCGACTCGAGCGAGACATTGCAGCTTTACGAGCTTGTGCTTCCGACAGGCTGCTGGTCACGCAGCTAAAACTACTTGAAGCGAAGCAGACCAATAAGGGCACTTGTAGTCGTAGTGCTTACCGGAGGCAACCTCAGTAACGCTTTGGGTGGCAAGTCTTGCAACCAACAGTTCCGAACTCTGTGGCCGAGGAGTGGCGGGCAACAGCGAAAACGATGTTGATGCGTACCTGGCATCTTTGTCATCTCTGGGGGCGCATCTCCACTTCGCACGTTGGGAGCCCAAACTAGAGCCTCGCTTCTGGTCGCCAGTCCACCCAAGCGAGCTTGCTCTTCAGCCGCACCTCGCTGGCCTTGCCCACGAGCTGTCAGACGGCGACGCCGGCGACGTCAGCATGCTTTCGCAGGTATTGTTGACCGAGGATACATACTGCAGCTTTGCAGTGGGTTTGAATGTGGATGTGCCTGGCAATGCTCACCCTATCATGGGATACCGACGTTCTTCGACACTCTCCGAACTTCAGGATGTTGTACAGGCATCGACCAGTTTTCAGACCAGCCCGAGGCACTTTATCTCGTGCTGGCACGGTGCTTCGAAAAGCCTGGTGTCAGTTTCGTGGCTGAGTGACTCCAGGGGTCCTGTCTACTCAGTGGACCACGGCTGTGTCTGGCTTGAGGTCGTGGATGTCGCAAACGGGCAAATGCGCCGCATTGTCCTCGGCAAGGTTCCAGGTATGGGCTTGGCTTCAAGATCTTTGAAAGGAGCCGGGACCGACAACTCTTTGGCAGAGCAGGGAATGCTATTGACAAGGCGAGGAGGTTCTGTGGCCACAGCACCAGCTCGCAAGCAAATGGAAATGCCCAGTTGCGTTGCATGCTGCGAGATGGAGGACGGGCGCTTGGCACTTCTTTTTGCAGACTCTCATGTTCGCATCCTGGAGATTCGGAAAGGGCAGCTGGCAGTTCAAGAAGCCCTCCATCGCAGCATGCGCGGGGCCGGCGCCGATGTCGACATCGAGAGCCTCGAGAGCGAGAGCGAGAGCCGAAGCCTTCCTGGCGAGTCGGAGGATGACGAAGCCGACGATCTTGATGTCGAAGACACTGAAGAGGGTGAGGAGACGGAAGAATCGAGCGTTGACCACAGATCAGCCTCCACACCAGGAATGGTCGGAGGTTCGAGGGGCAAAGGTCGGGGGCGCCGCGGCAAGCGTGGAAAAGGTCGACTAGGAGGTGGCCGTGGGGGCGGGGCGAGGCAACAAAGCTCCAAGGACTCCAGTGGCGATGCAAAAGCAGGAGCTGGAGCCGGGAAGGTCCTCCAGAAGGCCAGGGAGCGAGCAATGCTCGCAGTCGGAAAAGAGAAGCTGGAACTGGAGCTTGCTGACCTGGACATTGCCAAGTATGACGAGCTTTTCCGCACAGTGGAAAAGGAAGTGACGCAATTGCGGGTGATTCTTCAAGCGGTGGAAGCCAAAGAAAAGGAGAGGACCTGGCTGCGAGGAAAGACAGTAGGCGAACTGGACGACAGCAAAATTGTGGATTTTGCGATTGGCGAGAAGACTGTTTTCAAGCACCGTGGTCAACGCGAGGACCCGTCCGTGGCGCAAGCCCTTCCAAAGCGACTCTCATTCGTGGTCGATGTCAGCGGTTCGATGGCAGTGTTCAATGGTGATGGACGGCTTGATCGGCTTTGCGCCTCCATGGTGATGGTCATGGAGGGTTTGTTCGGGCTGGAGCACAAGTACCTGTATGAGATCGTCGGCCACAGTGGTGAGACAGATTGGCTGCCATTTGTCAGGATGGGCAAACCTCCACGCAATCGGGCAGAGCGCTTTGCCGTTGTTAATGCCATGGCAGACCATGCTTCCTTCGCCCGCAGTGGTGACAACACACTTTCGGCTGGCATCAGAGCAATGACTGAAATTGTCAAAGAACAGGCAGATGACTACTTTGTTTTTCTGGTTTCAGATGCGAATCTCCGAGGCTATGGCATTTCGCCGCAGGATTTAGCGACAGCTTTGACAAGCGATCGGAGGATCAACGCTCATGCTATATTCATAGCAGAGCCAGACGCGGCACAAGAGATGAAGTTGTCGATGCCCGTGGGTCATGCGCATCTGGTGCTTGACACCGAAGGCTTGCCACTGCTTTTGAAGAACATTTTCGCGAAAGCTGTGCTCACAGGCCTGTCGAGCAAGCTCTAGTGTGCTGCGATGGCAGGAAAGGTTGTCTCAAGGCACCCCGTGCTTGCAGAGCAAAAGCTAGGTCAGCTAGGTAAGCAGGATGGAGCAGAATGCTTGAAAACTGAGCGTCGTGGACATGGACTGACATGACCTGTGACTGGTTCGCTTTGGATAGGGCCAGGCAAAATCGAGCCTCCACGGAGTATGAAGATGACGTGGAGTTGAAGGTTCTGCGGCATGTTACTACGTGTGCATCTCTTATTCATGTTCACAATTGAGCACAGATAGCCAAGTCAAGGTCTCCTTCAAGGATTTAGATGGAGCTTGTGAAGAGCTCATCGAGTACGAGGCAAGACGCGCATTAACACCCTGATTTTGCTGCGTGCGGGCAGCTGGAAGGTTGGATCCTTTGTTTCCGCCATGCCATCGTCTGGAAGTAGGTCCGAGCTTGGGCCGCCGGATTTCCTTCAATTTCGGATGATTCCGACACGCAGGGCCCACTTCCAGCGGAAATCTGGATGGTGCACGCGGTGCCGAGCACTGCTGTGCTTGCCTAAGTCTGAGTCTGGGATGTGCTTGCATGCCAAGTGCCTCGTCAAGTTTTCTCTGTGCAGGTCGTCAGCGACGGCTCGGTCAGAGGAAGTTGTGACAATCATGCGTGGCTACTTCTGGAAGTTCAACACCGGAGTGGAGCTTTCGTCCGAAAGCCTTGGGAAGTTGGCGAACTGGCGCAGGCGCCAAGTGGACTGGGCCTGGGCATGTCGGCAACCATGCGTCTTCAGGCGGATCTTCTGCCTGCAGCGAAAGTCCGCAAGAACTGCCAGCGGCTCAGTGAGCCCCAGAGTTTCAGACCACAAGGTGCTTCGTAACCTGTCAGCCTCGGAGGTCATCACGTACCTTTCCGAGCACCTAGGCCGTTTCAGCTTTCAGAAGGACCCGCTTGATTCTGCCGGTGTGAGTTCCAAGGAAAGAGAATGGCGTCCTGCAGCTGGCGTGCGTAGTCCAGGGTGCGCATTTTCACATCTGTCCATGGCCGCCCGGATGGAGAACTATGTCTCGGGGAGCTCCCTACGCTGTGTAAACTGGTGCAACGCGTTGCCAGCCTGCGAAGCCAAGGCGGCAAACTTGCAGAGTGTCGAGGCTGCCAGGAGTGGAGCTGGAAGTGCCGGAGTCGAGCAGAGAAGTAGCCCGGCAGCGGAAGCTTTGTCGAAGCTTTGTCGTCACGGAGGGTTCCCGAGACAAGCACCTAGGAACTCTACGACTCCATGCGGCAGTATGACGTCGCTTTTGCTGGAAAGCCGATGAGTTCCAGCTACGCCTCGCTCATTCCTGAACGCTTCATGGCCGATTGATCGTGTCGATGGGTTTGGCAGCATCCCGGAGACCGAAGTGCTGCGGACCAATTAGCTAAGCAGCTAAGGCTTGCAGGTGCTGTGCTTCCGACGATTGCAGGATGCCATGGAGCCCTCTTTGATACTCGGGGCTCGTCCAGATGCTCGAGCGAAGACTGGGCTGTGTCATTGTGCTTTTTGCAGGGATATACTCAGACATTTCGGTGACATGCAGTGACATGCAGGACATAGCGTGCACATGTGTGCACATGCCGCCAAACCTGCCCTCTAAGGAGTTGATGCGTGTGTGGGAAGGGGTGCTGCAAGAAGCAGTCCCGTCCCTGTGTATCGATTTGGACATGGCTGGGGGGCTCAAAGCAAGCGCCCGCGAGGCTTAGAGAGCAATAGCCGGTGCGTGCTTTTGTGGCCGCCGTGTTTCGGCCTAGAAGGCCGCTGTCACAGACGACTAGGCTGACAAAAAGGATCGTGACCAGCCGGGAAGGGCATGGTCCCACAACGCCCAAGCGCAACAGGTGGCCAGGAGCCCTCGGGCCATCCGTGCCCGATGCCAAGGAGTTCATGGAGAGAAAGAGGCGTCGCATCAAACGCACCAGCTGCATTCACGAAAGGCTCCGGCAGCACTTCGGCACCTGCACGGTTTCACCTAGCAACAAGTCGTCGTGCGTTGTGCGCACCCTGTTTTTCCACGTGGTAAAGAATGCCACTTCACGGGCAGGTGCAGTAGGAAGCGACCATGACACTGCGTGATCGGGCTGCCTCCCAAAGGCCAAAGAATGCCCAACAGCATCCGACAGGCAGTAAAGCACAAGACTTCATGTGCGCACGCGGGAATGCAAGTGGTGTCTGCAAGGGGCGAGGGCGAACTGACCACAGGGAGCTCTGCGCAGAAAGCGATCTCGCGACCATGAGCAACCCCCTTATCCCGCGGGGTGCTGGGCGGGCTGGTTGCTGCTATATGCAGCTTGCAGCTTCCGAGTACGGACAATGGAGAGCTGAGTTGTTGGCTAGCGAGTCCGGATAGCGGACGAGACTCTTCCTTTGTCAGTAGATGTAGAATGTAGAATCAAAAAGATAGCGGCTTCCCGTACCTTCAGACCATGCAGGTCCCGCCAACCGGACATCCACATATCGCTGAAGTGATGTCCAGTATGAAACGGGCGATGTACTGAACAATTGCAGCTGTTAGCGGCTTGATGTATCAGAAAGCCCTACCAAACAGAAACAACACTCAGGTTGGTCAGGAAGGCCAGGAAGAAACAACCAAAGATGTGGTATCCTGGTGAGCGCAAAGCACATGCTGTCTGGAACAAGACGAGAACAGCAACACTCGTGGGCGGCTTGTGGTGAGCCCCAGATGCCGCCCTCCAGCAGTCGGCCAAGTGTCTGGGCTATCCAGGCCCAATGTCATCGCATCTCGGTTAGCATTGGCAGCACAGCATCGCCGGGAAGTTCCTCGAGCCTTTGTCGCGAGGTTTTATAATGCCAAAAGATGGCAGGAGGGAAAGCAAGGCACGGTGTTGTTCACGTCGGCCTCGCAGCGGGGAGAGGAATCCGGGCATTCGTCGCTTGAAGGCCCTCCACCTATTTTCTTGTCGATCGGCGTCCGCCATCCTAACCAGATTCAGCTGGACATTGCAATCAGGGAGCAGGTCGCCATCAGTGGTTCCGGATGAAACAGTCTACCCAGCGTCCTTTCCAGGAGACATTGCAGAAGCTCTTTGACCTGGTAAACCAGGACGATGCTCACATGCCAATGTGCCAGTTGAAGTGCCTTTTTTTCTTCGCCCAGTGGCCATCGGCTCTCTGCGGTTGATGCCCGGTGCAGTCCTTCAATCAACACAAGCTTTTTCGCGAGGAGATCGAGCGCTTCGATGCGGGAAATACTGTAATCGCGGTTGCTCAGATTCCCAAAGTGGAACAGGAGCCCCTGAACCAGTGCAGCTGATATCGTCCTTCGGACCTGAGTGTCAGCAGGACCCGCACCTTCTGCCATTCTGGCACAATCGGGTCTGCGCCTTGATGTCTCCAGTTCTCCAAGCTTGGTAAGGGCATGTGCCACCAGTCCTCTGTAGAGAAACGCTGCAGCGTTCAGGCTTGGATGGAGCTTCAGAAGCGCGTGAAGAGCTCCATGTCACGACTTGAGCCGCGAGGTGGGGTTTCCTTGTGCAGTCATTACAGTTTGGGTCTGCATGTGCAGACGGTGCAATCAATCGATTCTTGCAGGTTGCTGTGGCAGCCGTAGGCTGTGCTGAGATGGCACGCGCACAGTGCAAGTAGAAAACACATCAAGTGCTAACCCTGGGCCCCGGGCTCCTGCTTGTTGCTACACATCAGCAAGTGTCTTGCGACTTTAATCGGAAGCAGGAAAAGCTGAATGTGCCTCCCCATATCCCCATCCGAGCTGGACGAACAATCTGAAGTGGGGAACGGTAGCTTCGGACTTGATTTTCGTCGTAGTTGAACTGAGGCTGACATCGCCGTTTGCACTGGCAGCTCTACTGTTTCAACTGTACAATGGACTACCAGGCATAGCTTCAGGTGGCTAGACAAGTGAAACGGGCAAGGGCTCATAGTCACGATTTTCGTGGTGTTGATGCCCCTCCGTCATCAAACGCTACATGCTTGCGTGTCTACTGATGTTCCGTCTGCACGGGCTGCAGGCTTGTCCATGCTGGCATATGCTTTGGCCAGAATCAAAGATTGGGAGGACCAAGAGATATGCTTCGTTGTCTGGGGCGCCTGCGCAGACTCTGCAAAGTTTGCCAGGATCCATCTATGCTTCAAGCACTGCTAGACAAGTCTTTGGCAAAAATGGATGATTTCGGCCCGACGGATGCTGCTAAGCCCTTGGGCTGCAGAAGCTTGTTGGCCAACCGGGCGCCCGGCTAGCCTTTGCAAATAAGCTAAGCTCTCGGCTGCAAGAGGCTCGCGTGGGTTTTGGCAAAGTGTCTTGGAAGCAGTTGTCGAGTGTTGGTACAGCTCTGATGAAACAGGGTTTGCTTGGAGGGAGTCCTCGGCAGGCTCCAGATCCGCGAGCGTGGAGACCTCTGGATAGCGCTATCCAAAGAAGCGGCACGTAAGATTTGTGACTCGGTGGCAAACGCGATTGTCTTTCGGTCGTTTCTTTTCTGCGGCTCAAGTGCCAGGCAACTCCGGAAGATTCATCGATATCTCAATGACGGCTTGGGCATTCGCAAAAGCCGGTATGGCAGAGCGAGTGCTTTTTGGCCAACTGGCTTCGGCTGCAATGGATTGTAGTGACCTGCCGCCGAAACTCTGCTGCACAATTATTTCACAAATTCAATCTGGCACAATAGACACAAGCTCATTTCATTCGCAGAGTTTGATTCCGAAAGATCCCCAAAAGGCTGTTAGTCCATGCATGCGTGCACGTAAGAACACAGGCGCCCTTCAAGAGGTCAACATTTTGGCTGAGGCACACCATTGCAAACTTGTGCTGGGCTTTTGCGAAGTCCAAGAACCACAACCCGCCTCTTTTCGACATGCGGCCTGGCTGTGTTCTTCCGCGAAATGGGTGTCTCACGGCTTGATTTGTTTGCGGTGCATGTTGATGAGGCTAGCAAAGCGTGCCATCGAATCCTATTCCTCGTTTGATCGTCAAAGTGTGGCATGCCAGCAAGCGATTCCCTGTCTGCCGAACGATGAGCTTGTGTGGTCACTGTGTGGTCACCATTGCAGGTGTCCAACTTGGTTTGGGCATATGCGACACTCGATGTTTGCCACGAAGAGTTGTTTGCAGTCTTTGCGAACTACACCGTGGCGCGCCAGCAAACAGTCAAAGAGAGAGGCGGATGCGAAGGGTACACTGGACCGTGTGCCCTTCATGCCTGCGAGAGAGAGAGTGAGAGAGAGTGAGAGAGAGAGAGAGAGTAGCCCTGACGAAAGAAAGAGAGAATGGGGGCTGTGCAGAAGAAGAATGGGGGACGACGACTTGCAGTGGTGTTTTATGTTTTGGAAAATCCGTGGAATGCTTAAG